CAGTAGCAGTAGCAGTAGGAGTGGGAGTAGGAGCAGGAGCAGGAGCAGGAGCAGGAGCAGGAGCAGGAGTAGTAGTAGTAGTAGTAGTAGTAGTTGTAGTAGTAGTAGTAGTAGTAGTTGCCGCTGTTGTTGTTGTAGTTAGTAGTAGTGGTAGTAGTAGTAGTGGCAATAGGAGTGGTGGTAGTAGTAGTCGTCGTCGTCGTAGTAGTAGTGGTAGTAGGAGTGGTACTAATAGTAGTGGTAGTATTGGGAGTAGCAGCAGCAGTAGCAGCAGCAGTACTACTAGTACTAGTACTAGTACTAGTAGTACTAGTAGTACTAGTACTAGTAATACTGGCAGCAGCGGAGGTAGTAATAGTAGCCGTAGCAGCCCCAGTAGAAGAAGTAGAAGTAGTCGTCATCGTCGTCGTCGTCGTCGTAGTAGTAGTAGTAGTAGTAGTAATGGCTCTGTCTGCTTCGCGCTTTCATGCTTCGATTTCTACAAACATGTGTGTGGAGGCACCGAGTCTATGCGAACTTAAAATCGACTTCTCCCACATGCTCCACCCCTAAGTGGAAGCGTGCATGGGCCGCACTTGTGAATGTGAACAGCGGCAGTAGCGAGGAAGCCCCTCCTCGGCCAAGACCCACAAAGAAACTTCCCTCACAAGAGAGCAATTGAGGATTGTCGAACTTTAGGTGATGAACCACAACGAAAACATCTGCATCTGCACTGTGTTGAGCTGCTTGCGAGGTCATCAACAGTTGCCGAGCGTCTATGCTTTGATCTGCGGAGGTGGCTGGATTTTGCGCTTCCTTGGCAGAAAACGGTACAAATTCAAGTTTTATGCACTTCATTCATCTGTGCATGCAAGACTGCTGTGAATACATGTACGTCGTTGCTCTGTGAAATTCGGGGACAGACAGACAGACAGACAGACAGACAGACAGACAGAGATGCATTCATCCATCCATGCATCCATCGATCCATCCATCCATCCATCCATCCATCCATCCATCCATCCATCCATCCATGCGGGCATGGGCATGGGCATGGGCATGGGCACCTACCTACCTACCTACCTACCTACCTACCTACCTACCTACCATCTGCCTGCCTGCCTACCTACATACACACACATACATCCGCACGCACGTGTACCTATATCCCATACCGACATGTGTACATGAACATGCCATGCCTGACAAATGTCTTGGTACGTGGCCAGCTGAAGTCTTCTGCTGTGTATTGTGCTACAGTCTGCTCCAGAGATAAGGAGAGAAAGTGCACTGTGCCATGCTGCTGGACATGCTTTGTCGCGCCGCCACGCTTGGCCGAAAAATACAATGATTATCTTGGGGTCGTTGTGCTTACGCTGGGGCTAGATTCAGAAAACTGGGTATCATCCCAACACTGACACCAGCAAACCAAAGATGCTAGCACCCGATGCTACCAAGATCCCCCAAAAGGGAATTTTCAGCACAAAGGATCCTTTTCCTACTGAGTCCTACTGTTCATAATATGGGGTTCTATACACAATGTTCTCCCGCCCTCCCGAAGCTCCTCTCAGACGCTGAGTTCATAAGCCCCAAAAAAGTTTAAACTTTCCAGTTCTATATAGGGGACCATCTTATCCTAACAAGTGTAGAATGTAAAGGGTACACACTCAGCTACTAAGTCCTATCTACGCCTCCAAGATTCATCTGACGCTGCTCGCTGAACGAGAAAGCCCGGGCCACCGAGTCTAGGCGCCACCAGGCGCCCGAAGCCGCTGCCTTTCAGGGTTCCTGTTAAGATTCCTTTCAGAGTTCCTTTTCAGGTTCCCTTTAAGGTTCCTTTCAGGGTTCCTTTTACTGTTCCTTCCAAAGGAACCTTAAACGGAAACGAACCTTAAAAGGAGGGCCTTAAAAGGAACCCTGAAAGGAACCTCAAAAGGAACCCTGAAAGGAACCTTAAAAGGAACACCGAAGGGAACCTTAAAAGGAACCCTCAGGGTTCCGTTTAAGGTTCCTTTCAGGGTTTCTGCTAAGGTTCCTCTTAGGGTTCCTTTTAAGGTTCCCTTCAGGGTTCCTTTTAAGGTTCCTTTCAGGGTTCCTGTTAAGGTTCCTTTCAGGGTTCCTTTTCAGGTTCCTTTCAGGTTCCTTGTTGGGGTTCCTGCAAAAGTTCTCTCAAGGGGTTGAAGGATGTTGCGTCCTGCATCTTGGGGCAATGTTTTGCCTCCCAAGCAAAACAAGATTGAGGGACTTCGGCAAATTGCATCTACGACACCAATCTCTTTCAACTCAATAAGGCCAGGCTTTAGGGGTATTCGCACTTCGCATAGTAGGGTTTCAGCTTTCACAACTGGGCAATAGTAGGTTCAGGGGTGCGGGGTTTATGCGCGCAGAGTTTATGGGTGTAGGGTTTCGGGGGTTTTCAGACTCGCAACCTTAGGGGTGTGGGTTGGGACTCGACCTCCAGGGTTCTTGGCTCCACGGAATAATTGCAGCATCGCAAGCAGGGTTTCGGGTTGTTCTTTTAAGGGTTTTGTTGACAATCGCACTCGCACATGCAAGGCAAGAACTAACGGTCTGACACATCCCTTCGGCCACGTCAGAGGTAAGGGCGATCCGCCCAAGGGTCGATTTAGCACTCGCACTGGAAAAAGCCAGCAAGGTCTGGTGTATCAACCCCGTCAGAACAACATGGACATCAGCCAGTTAGTCAGCTCACGAGACTGTTAGATGGGGTACCCCCCATTGGTTTGGACTCTCCCGGCTTCTGTGGTTGGGGCATCCCTTAGCCCATTTCGAGCCTTCTCGACCTCAGAGGCCTTCGCTTTCTCGGGCACAGGCACGGCTTGCCTGGCATCTACGAACTTCCAGGGCTGCAGGAGGTCTTGGGCAGATGGCTGCCATGGGTGTAGCTCTATGACCGCATGTTCCACGGTATTCAAGATGCCGGGCTTTTGGCACTTTCAGCTTTGCAGCGAAACGCGTGCGACAACAAAGAAGTGATACAAATGTCTAGGCTGGAACTTATGAAGATAGTCTAGTCTAGTGAGTTTGTGGTCATTTAATGCCAAAAAAAGGGCCACTGCTAGTGAGACTAACAAGATAATGGCAAACGCCAGTGCTTAGGCAAACAACAGTTCTGACAAGAAGAAAAACACTGAACAAAACACTACGACAAGCCACATACACGAACTATAAGCCTAAAAGCATGATACTCCAAATAGTCATTGCACTGCGACCACTACACTACGACTATCATTCCCACTATTGCCACCACTGCTCATGCCACAGCCACTACGAAGACGACAGCAATGCGTGAGGCAAGGACTGTGCCGAGTAAAGGAATACAAGCAAGACAAGCCTGTCACCTGTGGTTCCCATCTTGCGCGCCTTGCTCGCTCCGCGCCCTCAATCCGGCGACGCCTCTCGCCGTCCTGCAAGGCACCCAGGCCATGTTAAACACGTGCTTCGATCATTTAGGTCCTTGAGAAAGGTGAGACAGGAAAGGCTCTGTCCACGAGGCCCGGTCTCATGTATCGGAGGCTCTACTGTTCTTCGTGTGTCCGTAGAGTTCGCTTCAAGTGGTTTGGGTGAATACCGGCTTGGTTTCCTGCGTACTTACCTTGCTTACTTATCCTCCCCTTGATAAAAGCTTGCTGTCAGATTGGTTGGGTGTTAGCTGCTGCTCCTGAACTTTCGCCGCACTTACAAGGCACCTCCGTCATCCACTCGAACTCCCAGCCGTGGCGTGCGCACAGTGCCTTGAGGCGATCCTCGTCCCAGTCCTCGCGGTTTTCAGGGCTTCACGCTCGGGGATTGCGTATTCATGCATAGGGAAATGGTAAAAATTAAGGATGACATATTTCAGGCTCCTGACACAAGGCCTTCAAGTTTCTGCAACTCTCTCTTCTGAATACGCTGCGGCTTATGGCAACTGGGGGTTTACACCGTCACCTTCGGGCCTTCGGACTTATCTGACCAAGTTGTTGAATCGTGAATCGGGGCTTTGCTTTGCGAAACCTTCATGTAAGTTCCTAAGGGCAGAGGTCCTCAGGCTCGATGGAGACCTGCGCCAGGTTGCTGCCGATGATCCGCGCCGAGGCCTTGGTGTAGGCTTCGACGAGCTCCTGCGCAGCTCAAGGCCAAAAACACAACTGAGGACAGTCAAGCGAAGCCGGTGTGTCGAGACATGTGGACCTTGAAGACACAGTTGGCTGGTTATGCTACCAAAGAACGCACGGCGCTCGAAGTCATGCTAAAGACAGCCAGTTGGAAGAGATGCGGATTGCTCAATGAAAAACACAATAGCGAGGAAGAGATATGATTGTGACAACAATTCCAACAAAAGCAATTCGGTGGACGATGAGAACGCTGATTCATCCGCGGACTTGGCTCTAACCCTGACTCTGACAGGCATCCCAAAGTTCACGGCCATGATGTGACTGCAGTTGGTCAGCTTGCGACACGCACATTGGTATCCAGGTATGCTACAGACTTCGATGATGGTGCTCGTGGGATAAGGCACGGCGCACCTTTTTCGATATTGGCTGTGAGAAGGCTTCTGTCCTCGATTTTGCTTTCCGCTGGCTCCGGCCGGTCGGCATCAGTCACGACCTAGAACTGGCCACGTTGGCCGAGGCTATAGTGACCGTGCCAAAGTTTCATACGGAGGCTGGGTATGAATATCAGATGAACTCAGCTTTGCAGACAAACTCCGGGCATTTGCCAGTTTGTCGCTGGCGGAACTGCGGCTGTGGGACCACAAGGAGGTACATCATCCGCACCATGCACGTGCACAGCAGTATGTACAGCCAAGCTGCTGCGAACACTCCCCATCGCATGTCCGGATCATCGCCTCAGTCGGGCATAGTAGCACAAAATTTGCGAGGAAGTCGCGCTGCTGTTGAGGCAGAGAACATAGTTACTGTAGCCCTGTCAGCTCAAAACCCCTAGTTCGACGAGGGCGGCTGCTGCTGCAAATAAGTCGATGCGCGGAGCTTTTGCAAGAGAATGAAGCTTTCTCCGAATCTTCCGGTCGTGCTGCCACTGCTTCTTACGCTCTAGGCCTCTAGGAACCTACTCCAGAAGTGACATCTGGGGGTCTCTGTGGTTGCCGCCCCAGACCTGCTGCAGATCTGAGTCGAATCAATGACGACAGCCCTATGATGAGAATCTGCTGCAGCACCTGCCTGCCACTGCGGCACAAAGACTTGCCCGACACCCCTTGCAAAGGCAAGTTGCTTCCATCCCCATCAGTGGAAAAGACGAACTGGGCATTGTTGATGGGGACGATAAATGGCGTCCTGACCACTGTTAGACATCGGGGCAAGACCAGGGCTCCAAGCGGCGCACGAAAGGCCCAAGCTCTGAACTCTGAACCCTGGCTGTCCAGTCATCGTCGCCGTATCCGGTGAACAGTTCCTCGGGCTCGGCGTTCGCCGGCTCCTTGGCTGTGGGAATCGGGAGGAGGGCATGGGCAAGGCCTTTGCAGGGAGAAAAGGGAGTTCCCATCGTGCCGAGCTTCTAACATCAGCTTGATGCCAGAGAGCTGGCGCAGAAGCTCCGGGTCTTCCAAGGCCTACGACTCTTACTGACAGGACGCGCGAATAGCAAAATGTGTGTTGCGCAATAAACCCCAGCCGTGGAGACCTGGCCTGCTGCGGCGTGAGATCCCCAAGGACTTGCTTGTTCTCCTCCAGGTTGAAAGTCCTTGAACTCTCAGCCTAGACTCTTGTTGGGGTTTCTGGAGGCTTCTGGTGTAGGGTTCTAGGCTGTTCTGGGCCTTTGTCTGAGAGGCCGCGTTGAAGGTCAAGGTCGGAGCTTCAAAGAATTAACAAACAAACGTAGACAGCAAGAATTCACACCGACAGGGGAGTCTTCACTGTAGGGGTCGCCCAGTTGTGGACATACTGGCAACAAGGGGCATATCCCAAATGCCTGAATGGTCCAACTGCCTTAATGAAGTGATGGCTCAGCCCTGCATTGAGTATTCTGCCTTCTCTCGATTGGGCTTCCTATCATGCAGCTGAGTCGAAACTGGCCCACTCGGAATAAATCGCTCCATGCGCACTATGACACGAGAATTCAACAGCTCTCGATTGACCTCCAATAAACTGCCCAAGAAAAAGCCACGGGCAGCACAAGCATGAGTCGCGCGAGTAGCTGACTCTTGCATGCCAATCCCGTGGACTCGACTCGGCCGAAAGTCATATCGCTTTTGTCAAAATGCAGGCCACTGCTTGCTGAGACTCTCGTGCAAGCTGACATGCCAGCCAGAGCGTACCCCAGCACTTTGTGCAGGACCCTCGCCAGTGTCGCAAAAGCCGGAAATCTTGAGCACGCCACCTGGGCTGAAAAGGGAGGAGGTTGCCACTTGTCAAGGCTTAAGGCTTAGCAACAAACAGGCAACTATGTAGATTAATTAATCCCCCCGACACGGCCACAGACGAAAAAGCAACGAAAGAGCAAGCACCAACGGAAACAACCTGATTCCATGATTCTGTGTGTCGTGCCATTGCCCAACCGTCCACGCCCCTACACAGCAATACATAAGAAAACATGTCTAGAGCCTTGCTTCCGTGTGGTCGGCCCGCAGGCGGACATTGAGCCATGTCCCCTCCAATGGTCCGAGGCCCCTGCCGGTCGAATTGAAACCGTTGATCTCGTCGCTGATGCTCGCATCCTGCCATGGCTTTACGGAAAGAAGCTCAAGGTGATGAACTCCCGTGCAGAACTTTCCCATGTCACAGGCACCACTATAGTCACTAGTCCGCACCACCGATGTAGTGTTGGGCCTTGTAGTCGGCAGCACAGACAGGAAGGAGCTGGAAGTCGAGGCCGTTGTAGAAGGTCACGTTTCTGAATGCACGGGGGCGGGGGCTCCCTGGAGCTGGGAGAGGAATCCGCCGCAACTTGGGACGCAACCTGGCAAAATCCCATCTTCCAACCCTCCAAAAATTTACTGCCGGGCGTCATGTCGGAGACTTCAAGCAGCGCGTTCATGCGCTTCTTGAAGCCTTCTATGTTCGCAGCGATCTCTGCGAGGTTCTTCGGGGCTTCACCAAAGCCCTCGCCCTCCAGGGACTTGAACTTCTTGAGCCTCGGGGAGAATGCAGAGGCAAGCGCAGTGCTGCGCAGTGCTGCTAGAGCCAGAGCCTTTGCCTTTGCAACGCAGGATGAGCAACCACCCCAATCCGATGACTCCATTAGCAAGGATACTTGAAAGCGACTGCACAGGGACACGGAACTTGATCAGCGCAATGACATCCACGAACCAGCCCGCGAAGACACCCTTGAGCTGGGCAGGACCGCCTGACGGAACCGATTGCACGAAGCACACAGGCAAGTCCATCCAACCGGCCTTAGCTAGTTCTACAATGGCCGGATGTTCCTGACATGGAATTCCTGGGAGACAGTTGGGGCAGCGGCAGCACCGCGCGACACGAACTTTCCGGTAAGTATGTTTCCATCTGCGCCAGTCGGCCAGCGAGATCTGTGAGAGCTTCGACACGCTGCCTGGCTTCGAGAAGCCTGCCACGCTGAAGGGCGTCATCGGGGATGCCTCTGGACGGGGCACTTCTGCAGTCAAAGGAAGTCGAGGCAAGTAGCGGAAAATGTACCGACTGCACATGCAGGAGGGGGAGGAATGCAAGGATAGACTTCCCAACCTCATTGAAAGTGAAGCCCGCAATCTCATCTCCGATCTTCTGGCCACTGCTGTACCTGAGCAGCTTCGAAGACTGTCAGGACATCTGAAATGGAGCGCAGCCAGCAGGTATTGCAATGTAAAGGCACAAACAAGGACTCAGAAGAACACCGGCACGAACCCGAAGCTGCAGTCGCGCATCGTGTGGCAGGGCTCTAAGTTGCGGTGGCTTGTGGCACTCTCGTGTTTAGCAACACCAGCATCATCGAAAAACATCCCCAAGGACCGCTCCAGGTGACAATGATTTGGCACCGCTTCCAACCGGCGACAGAACAGAGTAGATGGGCATCCGGGCATGTCCCTTGCGAAGGCCCCAACCCCATTAAACTGCCAAACCTTCCATCCAGCTCCCAACCTCCGTCCCCTTCTTGCCCCCCAGCTGCTTGATCTTCACGACCTTGGCCTCCATGGCACAGACTGCCGTGCAGTTTCGGCCGGGCGATTGGTTGGAGTCCAGCCACTCCCCTGGGCTCAAGCTTTCCGTCCTAGTAATACCGGTAAAATAACCAAACAACTCTTGCTGTGGGGTGCATTGAGGACCGATGTAGGCGGTCTGCACCACGCCCCCGTCTTGCAGTTGCACTCGAGTGTCCACCAGAAGAGGCCCAACCAAAAGCCAAAACACCAGTGCAACTTAGTTTTGCCTTGGGCCCCTTCAGAAATTCACTGTCCAGCCTCGAGAGTCCCATTTCAAGTCCCAAACACCAGAGCCCTTTAAGTCCGGAGCCGACCTCGTTTTCAGAAGATGAGCAGTGCAGTTGGCCGCGATAGCTCGGCTACTAACGGCTACTAATCCTGTCCGTATCACATCGTTGCCGGTGCTGTCCTCCTAACATTTTTTGGCACCAGGATTTACCTCACTGCCAGACAGACTAGACGCATTCTTGGCAATCGAGTAGAGTACCACCACCCTTGCTATGCGACTTGTAGTTTTCTGTGTCTAGCCCACCGCTCTTAAAGTCTTAAAGCTATTGTCGCTCTCAGGAGGATAGGGTCCAGCTGATGCGCGTAACAGTTTGTTTTCCCAGATAGTTCTACCTGTGGCACAACGATTCTTCCGTTCGTGGCGATCTTTGTTTGTTACGATTGTGGTCGCTGTGACGAAGCACCCCTTTGCAAGCTGCTGAGTTGCTGAAGCAGCCGCAAATCTCAGACTCGTCCTTGTCGATGTTGACGATCCTTCGCCCACTCACCCAAACCCTTCGGGCTTTGCCCTCCCTCACTCGGACAGACCCTGGCCCATGGACTATAATTTCGGCATACAAAGACAAAGACGGACGCAGCAAGGAGAACTGACACAAGAGATCAGGTCAGGATTAAGGAAAGCTAGCGGGGACACAAGGTTGCATCGCCGAAGGCGCAGCGAGCCCCAAAGTGGGTTCAGATCTACAGCGTTAGCAGTTTGTCCTCTTAGACAACCCCAACCTTCAAGGTAAGCTTGCACCATGCCATGGGACCGTGGATTGCAAGCTGGTTTTGGCAAAGCGCCTTCCTGCTGAAGCGCCCCGAGATACATGAGGACTGTCAGGGTCGAGCATCGAATTTCCATAGAATGAAGGAACAATCAAGTCATGACCATGAACCCCAGGCCTCAGCTACAAGTGCCACAGCTCCCAAAATCAAAAAGCCAAGATGCCACTTGCCACCCTCTGCTTGCCCTGCCAACGTGCCATGCACCTCCAGTACAGAGGCTTGTGGGTTACGGTCGCGCTCGGGCTTAGCGGTTTACATCGATTCTTTTTTGGAGGGTCGGTGGGTTTTGTCCTTGGAGGCCTGCAGGTAGCCATCTCAGAAGCAACTCGCCAAGGCGGGGATCACATTGCCAACAGCTGGGCAAGCTCTATGACTGTACGCAGTTGAGTCCAAGACACCTGACCTCTGCCAGAAAACCCCTCACCTCCAGACCTCGCAATGCCCGTCACCCTGCATGGTGCCTGATCGGGGCCAGTGATCGCCTTCAAATGAGCTCGCGCTCCTACACCAGCAGCGCTCTTGCTGAGCCCACCTGGCACAGCTTGGAGCAGAGTGGAGGTTCGGGGCCGAAGCGGCGCAACACGGCGGACATGCATGTGATTGCGGTTGGGACTGCAGGCTTCACGGTTCAGGGCAGGCGCACAAGTTTCAAGGGTTGGTCGATTCCTCTGGTGGCCTGCCAAGACTTGCAAGGACGCGCAGTCGTCGTTTGTTTGGCAACGGCTGCTGAAGTTGACGCGCAGTTTGCTGGCCGAGGCGATGTGCACGTCCTGAAAGGCGACAACGGCACAGCTCCAATAGGCAATTTGATGTGGGCACTGAAACTACAAGCCCGGAACCCCGAAGTCCTGCGTCCAGGAATGCGAACGGGCGGGATACGGATGCGTCGGCGTCTCCACCACAACGACGTGCTGCAGCGACAATCCTTCCGACAGTCATCATCGCGAGCAGGAGCAGCAGCAGCAGCAGCAGCAGCAGCAGCAGCAGCAACCATCACCACAAGCAACAACAACCGCGCCACGACGACAACAGCAACGGCCACAGAAGCGACAGCAACTTTAGCATAGACAGCCACGACACTTCATTACAATCTTAATTACCTCTCGGTTTTGGGTGGTGCACGTCACACCAGCGCAACTCCTGCTGGATCCTTACAATAGGTCCGGGTCGAGCGTCGTGCGAGCACCTCGTCATGAGCCGCCTGTAGGCATGCCTCCCAGGCTTCCTCGGACGTGACTTGGACTTGTCTCGCAGTCTGGAGCTTTGTCCACTCGTCCAAGAAAGTCGTGCCTGCCATCGCACCAGCATTTGGAGAGCGAGAACAATCTTAGGTAGAAGCTCACCTGAAACCTGCACAACTCTGCATGTGTGTGTGCGCGTAAGCTTTCAAGCCGAGTGTTGTTGGTACGGATATATTATCAACACCCCAACGCCTTTGTAACTAAAACCCCCAAACCCTAACCTCCAGCGGCCTTCGAGCGCGGGAGCCACAAAAAAGCTGTGAAAATGTTAGGAAACATGCATCCCTCAACGCCTTAAACTAAAGCTTCTCAGAGCGGCTCTCGCCGACGCGGAAGACCTCCTCCTCCTCCGCGTCGCTCGCCTTTTCGGCCAGGGACTTCACCAGCTCGTCCTGGACGGCGCGATTTCTGACATTTCAGGTGCTTCCGCAGACAGCTTAAGTGGTCTTCGGGCTCGGACAGGCTTCGGCGGCCGGTCCACTGAGGCCGAGGAGGCACCAAGGGGACAGAAGTCCCGAATACTATGAGCTGAGCACGGTTCAAGGTTCGGGAAGCCCGCATTTCGAGGTCGGAGTGTGCAGCGTGGCCGGACCAATCTAGTCGCGCGGCAAATGGCCGGACTCTTGGAAAGCCCCGCACACATACGCTCCACGATAGCTGTTTCAAGCTTAAGGCGTTCGGCTTCTTCGGGCCTTGGGTACACTACTGAGGGTTTCAGGGTTTGGAGAGCTCCTGCTTGTCATTGCTGAGGCCCAGCTTGGCCATAACAGAGCGGAAGAGCTTCACAGGCCTCGGCTGTGGGTCTTTGTGACCCTCACACTCTAGCTTCCCGAACTAAGCCCAGACGTGGCAATGTGTGCCAACTTGGTATGAAGATCCTACGACTTCGGGTTTTGCATGTTGGTGCCGCGCTCCTGATGAACACCTCTCCGCCAGGCCACACACGCCCCTGTCGCTCTCGTGGGACGAGCCAACCGTAGCGAGGCGGCCTGAGAGCTTCGTTCTCGTGACGTGAGACTTTCAGGTTCAAGTTCAGATGGACTTCGGTGAGACAGCGTCACCGACATGTCAAGACATTGCAAGGGTACACAAGCTGGGCCCCTTTGGAATCTTAAAGTCTGAAAACAAGATTCCCTTCAACGTCGCTCGACCTTTGGATTGGCCTCGTCAAGGCTCCGAATCGGTTGAACGTGAGAGTTCCAATATTGCGACCTGCATTCACTTGTTTGTGCATCCCGGCTCGGACCTTGAATCCAGTTCAAGCCCCCTTTGTTGTCCGAGGAGCTCGAAAGAATCGTCTCCAGACGCTTGTGCGATCCACTTGTCCTCCTGGCTAGCCTGGGATGCCGAAGGATGCAAAATGAAACATCTCTCCCACTCGCTCGCTCTCCCTCCGTCCCTCTGCTTTCTTGTTCTGGACTTCCATGTGGAAGGCGATCCGGTATCCAGCTACGTCCGGCAGGGCAACCCTTTCAAGCAAGGCTCGACGTCAACCAGTCCCTCCCCTCTCCCTGGCCTCGCATGAGGTTTCCCTCCCAAGGCCGTGGCTTGGCGCCGGGTCCACAAAAAACCGCTAGGCATGCAGGCAAAGAAACCAACTCCGCTACAACATCAGCCGCCGATCGATGTGCGAAGCGATGCGAGAGAAAGCGAGCCCTAGTAGAGCCCGATGGTCCCATCCCCAGAGCGCTCTCCCTCTTTCTGTCCATCCCCATCCCTCTCTGACCACGTCGTAGACTGAGCGGCATCCGCAGTGAGCCTCCACTTTCCAGAAGTGGCGTCGAACGAGATTTCGAAGCGCCCCCCTTGCTGCTTGTACATGGCTTTGCCATGTCGCGCTCCACTTCGCGAGTAGCTGCCTCAGTCATCACTCTCCCAAAACGTCCCACTGTGAGCCGGGTGCCAGCAAGCCGCTACCTGACCTCCACACCGAATCGACAATTTGCAAGCGCATTAGCAGTGGGCTTGGGCCGATCCCAACGACAAAACACGAACCAACCTGTAGGAGGTTGGGGGCTCCAGGCCACGAGACCATCTGCATCGTCCATGCCGTCCACACGGACGGCCCAGGACCGGTCACTCTTGGACACCTCCAAGTCTTGCGCTTAAAGACGGCTGAACAGACGGGGGAGCAATGCTGCGTTTTCGCACCTCCAGGTGCTTGCGGTTGGCCACGAGCCTGGGGAGAGGATCCGTTGTGCAGTCTTTGAGGAAAGCAAGAGGTTTCATATGAGCCAAGGAGCCGCTGCACGTTGCGTTTCAGGTTCACCTCCCCATGGAGTTGGATCCTCGAGACTTCCACGTTGGGGTACCGGCTTTCGGGAACTCTCAGATTTGGGATGGCTGCGAGCGCCCGGAGCTGGGACGTCCGCTTTTTTTGTCGCCATGGAGCCCGAAAAGGTGCCCAGGAGGCCCGAAACCAGGAGCCAAGGCTTGCCAAGGCTCTCTTTGTAGATGTTGACGTTGTTGGAGTTGCCGATGATGGGGCAGTCCGCACGGATGATGCCGTCTGGCATCCCTGGCCAGTGCGCGAAGGCCTTGCCCTTGAAGGAGGGCGGGGCGTGCTTGAAGTCCGGGCCAAAGTTGAACCTGAGACTATCGGGGGTTCCGCTACACTCTGAACTATAAGCCAGACAGCTGGAACATGATGTCCTGATGGCCGTGCAGCAAAACATAGGAAATCACGGCACGTTGCATCCTTAAACCCTACGGGCATGAACCCTACATTCTCCTGAACCCTAACCGTCCTAACCGTACCACCCCTGACAGAAAGCAGAGGAGCTGTGCCCGGCCCTTGAAGGAGAGGGCGGGGTAGAGATTGGAGCCTTTCGGCAGCAGATTCGGCCCGAAACTCGGGGTAGCCTCCTCGTCCCAGTCGCCATCCTGGCGCTAGAACAGAGCTCAAGAAAATGTCTACCACCCAGGGCCCCCTCACGCTCAGCCCCGGGTTCAGGAGACATCTCTGGCTTTGCCATGTTTGCAAAGGCGCACTGTCGAAACCAGGTCACTTGGGGCAACAGCCTTGTGATCAGCTCTTTGGTCAGGGGGCTATGCTGCTCATGGAGAGCTCCGGGGAGTTTAGGGCCGCTGGGGTCGACATGTGGTTCTCTCGCTGTGTCTCTCGTTGTGAGGGCCAAGCTTCACTGGCGAACCAAATTTTTCCAGCGTCGATGTCCACTGCTATGCCGACGACGACATTCCTCGGCCAGGCTTTAGGTATTTGTACCTGCATGGAAGCCTGGTGCTTCGCGTCCTTTTTTTATGGTTCAGCTCTCCAACCCGACAGCAATCAGATACTTCTATAACATGATAACCAGGTCCGGCCAAGGAAAATCAAGTACGGGCGAAGTAAGGTTGGCTTCATACCCACAGAAATTCGGACACCAGAGCAAGTACGTTTGGGAGCTTGCTGCAAGATCGCGTGATGCTCAGTGACTTTGAGTGAGTGAGTGAGTGTGTGCGAGTGTGAGTGCAAGTGTGAGTGTGGGTGAGCGGGTGTGCTTGTATGCACATATTACATCATAAGCCGCATATACCTTTCTAGACGTATGTGTTTCTGGTTACCGGATGACTGCTTCATGGAATTATTCGCGTATTTGTTCATTGTTAGGCTGCTTGTTCATTGCTTAGGGTTTTGTTTCCCTTGCATAAATCCGAAAAGGAATAAAAAGGAGCTCCACTGTTGTGGGTACGCTTCACGCACGAAAAAAAATCGAAGATCGGAGATCACAAGACATCGGCGCCAGCTACCGGCAGGTGGTCTTGAGTCGCCAGTGGCCAGAACAGAACAGAAGTCAGACGGCTCCCCGCTAGCAATCGCAACGATCATAGTCAAGCTGACAACAAAACAGCGACATGGTCTACTCCAGCCACAAGCACCAAAAAGCAAGTGGTGGGCCATTGAAATACTGACATACTGCGACGAAGAAAACAATCGGGCTTGTGTGGATTGATCCGCCCTAGCACACAATCAGCCGAACGCGGCCTCAACCCTCAAACCTGTAAACCTACATACGGTCGCCCCACGAGGAGCTTGTCATCAGCCTGAGGGAAATGTACATGGAAGTGCGCAACTTCGTCACGGGGTACATGTTGTCGAGGAAAAATGAACATGCATAAGAATTGAACAAAACAACGCCTCGCAACAAGGCATGAGAACCCTTACCTTTACAGACTTGTGTTCACTTGTACTGACATGACACATGAGAACAAGAGGTAACACAGAGAATATCGCTACGCAGAATGACGTAGTCAGAACCTAGTTAAACCCAAAATACTGTAGGTACAAGAGCCTTTTTTCTGCTATAACCATTTACCAAGACCATATTATTTAGATATCTGTCTAGCTATCTATCTATCTATCCGTCCGCCCGTTCGTCTGTCCGTCCGTCTACTAAACTTTTCTCAAGTACCCGAGGCTCTGCGCGAGTTGGCGGGAGGCGCCGTTGCCACTTTGGTTCCAACTTCTACTCCAGGCCAGCTTCTTGCCATCATGCCAAAGGATGGAATGCCTGAGCCGTCCAGAAGTCTATGTGCATATATATGTATATCTTCATTGAATTTATGGGCTTAATGTATTTTACTCATCTATTTTCTTTACTTTCTCTATTTATTATTTCTTTTTTCTATTTATTCATTTACTTACGTATTTAGTTATGTGTTTATGCATTTACATATGTAAAAGTGCCTATTTACACATATCCATTTGTGTACGTGTATGTGTATGTATATATATATATGTGTGTGTGTGTGTGTGCATATGTATATATATATATAAACAATACCTCTCTATATAAATATAGTATGTCTATATATATATATTATGTATTTATACATACTTCTATATATATGTATGTATGGTAAACCCCCTTTCCCTAAAGATCCACGCTTTTCTGTCCTTCATAGACTCTTTGTGTCCCTCGCGCGCCCTTCTGTCCATGATGTCCTGACTATGACGGTCTCTCCACTTCAATACAAGCCTATGGCAAACAAACACGCACGTACACACACCCACACACACACACAAAGGTACACATACATAAGGTGTGTCGAAGTTGGCGGTAACTGGCAGGAGTGAAGATCGAATGAGTGTCAATCCTGGCACGGATCCAAGATCCAAGATCGAAGATTCTCCCAGGAGTCTTGGGGCAGAATCTTTGATCCGGATTGAAACTGGATTGAAGGAGTGAATTTCAATCCGAGTCCGATCCAAGCCCCTGTTAATCTAAGTCCCCGGAATCTGGGTCACCGCAAAGGGTTAAGGATACCAAGACAAAAAAGCCTTTAACGTGGAAGGCTTGTCTTTCATCCTACAATCTCCCGACAATCGACCAAGACCCAGGCCTGGTAAGCTAGTACAGGAGTAGTACCGTACTTGTACAGAAATAGTGCATTAGAGTAGTAGTAGAGCAGTAGAGGAGCAGCAATAGTAGTAATAGTAGTGGTGGTGGTAGTAGTAGTAGTAGCAGCAGCAGCAGCAGTAGTGGTGGTGGTAGTAGTAGTAGTAGTAGTAGTAGAATACTATTACTGTAGCGCAGTATGGAAGCCATTCATACGAGCATCGGGGCCATAAGCAAAAATTCAATAGCAGTCTCTTGCTTCAAGGTGGGTTCGTAAAGGGTCATAGGCGTAATTTTCAAAGGTCGCATGGTGCTTTCAAGTGAATCCTTTCATGTGATTGAAGCTAAGGCGCAATCTTGAGCGATTCCAAATAATAAACCACAAACCCCTCCGACGCTCGAAACGTGAAGCCGTAGAAGAAACATGTAAAAACGTTGATCTTCGAGGGGGGGCTATCCATATATATATATATAGAGAGAGAGGGAGAGAGAGTTTATATATATATATAGCATACTTGCAGGTTCTTTGCATTCTAAGTTTGAGGTTTTCGTGGGAGCAGAAGTCAGTCAGATCAACTGTATCATGGCCCAGGCGCACAACTGAGCGAAGCCACATTGGGCCAGATTGTAACATGACTATAAGATAGCTAGCACCCAGTTCGAGTGCTTGGTATCATATTCTGAAAAACATAATACGTCGGTCATAGTTGTGCGAAAGCTGATGAAACAGAGAAAACTTAAAAGTGAAAACAGGCGCGCCTTCGCAACCATGCCAGAAGACATGCTTAAATCCCTCAAGCGACAGTTTCAAGACACTTGCCACAGAGCTGCTGCCCGTCCACAGCCCATCCGTGTGCATCATCCCCTACGCCGTAGAGATGCTGGCCCTTGGTGCGAGGGGCGAGCTCGAAGCGGCTGGAGAGCAGGCCCACCTGTGTCGAGGAAGATTTCCGCTTTTTGTTCCTTCCTATTTAGTCTTTGTTTGGTTTGGGTCGTATGTCCCCGGTTGAGAACCAGCCTACCTGTGGGGACTGGCACCCGCGGATGAGCTCAATCTCGAAGTAGTAGCGGCCCTTCTTTTGAGGGAGGTCAGGGAAGCCCATGGTGACCCAATCGTTCGTGGTGTCCGCCGTCAGGCCACGCAGCAGCTGAGGCTGAATCCGAGGAACATCGTCCAGGGACGTATTTGCCATAGCCACCTCAATGAGCCGATGGAGTTCATTGTCGTTGTACTCTTTCAACACATGGGCATACTTGTCCAAGACTGCCAGTCTCGATCCTGCGATACCCCCGGAGTCTGTTGCGGCAAAGGTGGCACGGAGCCGGACATCCTTCAAAACCAGATAGGAGTCACCATACTGGTAGGCTGATGTGATACCTCTGTAGTCGTTCATCACCCCCAGCGCTCCATACTTGCATCGCTCGAAAGGCTTAGCTTCATCGTAGGCACCACCGAAAAGCTCAGTTTCCCAGCCTATGCGGATCTGGTTCTTGTCATCTAAAGCACCACAAGACGTTCCTGTCTCAAACTGGCTCCGGTAGTACTCGTCGGTCTCCAAGAACCTGGGGCCCAGTCAGGAAGGCCAAAAACAACAGATCACTTGTCTATGACCTGTTGAAAACAAGCAAAAGGGCTCTGTCCACTCCAAGCTAAACGCGAAACCCCATCCCCAAAGCTTCAAGCCCGAACATTTCTAGGCCAAAGGACCTTCCGACGGTTCCGATGTGGATGTGGACGCACATGGGAGCCAAGTCCTGGATCCAGCCCAGCACGCCCTGCAGCTCTGCCTCGCCGTAGCCAAGCCTGCATGTAGCGACACAGGTACACACGTGTACCCATGTATGCGCGCATGCGCATATCTATTGTCTTCTCTCTAGGGGCACATGTTGTATGTACATGTAATGTAATGTAATGTCATGTCATGTAATGTGATGTAATGTAATGTCATGTCATGTAATGATGTAATGTAATGTCATGTCATGTCATGTCATGTCTTGTCTTGTACGTATGTATGTATCTATCTATCTATGTATGTGTGTATGTATGTATGTATCTATCTATGTATGTATGTATGTACGTACGTATGTATGTATGTGCGTATGTACGCAGGTATGCAGGTATGTATGTATGTATGTATGTATGCATGTATGTATGTATGTATGTATGTATCTAGGCATGTATCTAGGCATGTATGTATGCATGTATGTATGTATGTATGTGTGTATGTGTCTATGTAAGTATCTAGGCATGTATGTATGTATGTATGTATGTATGTGTGTATGTGTGTGTGTGTATGTGTGTGTGTGTCTATGTATTTATGTGTGTATGTCTGTCTGTCTGTCTGTCCGTCCGTCTGTCTGTCTGTCTGTCTGTCTGTCTGTATGTATGTATGTATGTCTGTATGTGTCTATGTTTGTATGTATGTATGTATGTATGTATGTATGTATTTGTGTATGTATGTATGTATGTATGTATGTATGTATGTATGTGTGTGTGTGTCTGTGTGTATGTGCGTATGTGTGTGTGTGTCTATGTATGTATGTATGTATGTATGCATGCACGTATGCATGTATGTATGTATGTGTATGTATGTATGTGTGTGTGTATGTGTAAGTAGATGTAGATGTAGATGTTTCTGTGTATAACTTTCTAGGTATATCTATCTCTATATATATATACAGTATATATTGCATGTATGTGTATATGTATACATACATGTCTGCATATATATATATGTGGCATGGACCTTTATGTATAGTTTGTCGATCTCTTTTGTTTTAAATACAAATACCTCTATATGTTCATACGTTCTCTATGCATTATTTCGCAATCTGGGTCTGTTTACCGGCCGCAG